ACAGCAAATTCAAATATTATTAACTATTATGAAAGACAATATGAATAAAATTTGCGAGATTTGTAGCGATAAAGCATTGGGTAAATAATTTTTAAAATGAATTATTCTTACAAATGAATTATTTTCTTAGTACAACTTAATTTATTAAGCCATTCATAAGATTGTGTAAACTAATTATATTAATTGTTTATTAATTATGACCAAAATTGTAATATCCTTTAGGCCGACACTTCGGTGCCATTACTTGTGAATTGTGTAAAGCATTCTTCCGGAGGAATGCACTCAAAAATAAGGTAATATAAAGGGGACACAAAAATATTGACAAATATATATATACTTATGAATTGTTCACAATTCATGCGAATAGGTTTGGAAATGCCTTTCGGATGGAAAGTGCAAAATAACTCCAAATACTAAAACCTTATGCAAAACATGTAGACTTCATAAGTGTTTTGCAGTGGGTATGAGAAAGGTGAGTTAATGGTGGAGCACTATTCAAGTAAAACACGATTCGTATATTATTTTGATTTATGAATTTTTGTATGGATAGGAATTGATACTAAATGATGAGGAAAGGGAGCAAAGGAGACAATTACTCGAAGAAAATAGACGCAAACGAAAGGCATTAAATGAAAGTCAAAACACATCCTCAGAAGTGAATGTGTCTTCAAATTCACAATCACTTGAGTCGACCATTTCTGGTGATTGTGGTGACAGTGACTCCTTAGATGCCATAATAGGATGTGTTTCGGATACTACCGATGAGGGTCTGAGCGCACAGATTATGGAAATCGAAAATTATGTCAATAGTGAGCACTCGGACCACAGTATTGAAGCATTGGGTGATAGACTTATGTTAGAAGATATCAAACAGAGGTCACGACAAATAGCTATCATTCCTATGTTTAAAGGTCTCGCAGATTATACCACTTTGAATGAATTGGAAATCAATAAACTTGGAGAGTTATTGAGCTTGTCCAAAATATTTGAGTACCCATCCAGCACAAATTTATTAAAACTGACGGACATAACAGAATACTTTAAGATCTCTAATAAAAGACTGGAAGTGACTGTTAAAGAATTTCTGAGTTTTAGCAAAGGGTTGAGTGGATTCACTAATGTATGTCCTGATGACCAGTACACCCTATTTAAGTATGGGTGCTCTGAGATGTTGCTTATTAGATGTCTTATGTATTATAACCAGGATGGAGAATATTTTAACTTTTATATGGTAGTCAACATTGAATTTAGGAAGCATTTATAATAGATAGTAATATAAAGTATTGTATTTTTCATAGGATAACGACACCTCACTTATAGTTAATTATGATTCATTTACTGCCGAGATATCCAGGTCTTATTTGATGTTTAAAAATGAATTTAAGGATTATTTGAACAAGATTCTACCGCTATGGAACCGTGACCGTATAATATTGGAATTGGTATGTTAATTAGCTCTAGTAAATTAAATTTTAATTACTTAAAATATTTTGGTTATATACTCTTTCCAGCTCAATGCTATTGCACTGTTCAATCCTAATCGACCAAATCTTAAACATAGAAAAAAAATTAAGTAATATATTATAATCTTAATAGTGTTATACAATAATTAACAATTAAATATTATTTTTAATTTAATAGACTCGAACAACAATTATATATCTATTTATTGAAAAGATATTTACTATTGAAGTGTCGATCAGATTGTGAATCTCAGGAAAGATTATGTAAACTAATGAACACTTTCGCCGATATCTACAAAATAATTGAAACACAAAAAGTGTATAATATTGGAGAGAATGAAATATATTTGCAAACATATGGACCACTAATGAGGGAGATATTTGATTTACCAGCATCTTAATAAAATTTAACTTATATATAAGTAGAAGTAATCAATATAATTAAAAACATTCAGATAGTAAATAATTACAATTTACTTTTATCAATCATTAAACTTGTTAAAGTAACGAATTAATAAATATTCAGTAAATTCCTAGCTTTTAATACCGGTAAAAAATGTTCTTTTTGTTAATAATTACTTAAATCATCAAATTATACAAAAATCAATTTCACCTTTATCAATTTATTGTAACTTATTAAACAATTTAATGTTAAATATAATGCTTGCATCATTTATTTTTATATATTCCTGGCTATAGTGATTCAATTGTGTAAATATTGTAAAACAATATTTGCTTTTTGGTTACTGATAAAATAAATGCAAACAATCGCTTAGTGAACTTATCTACCAGATCAGTCTAAACTGATGCACTATAAGCCCATTATACAACATATTTCATTAGCCATTAGAATTACACATAAATTTTTATTATTAATAAATTGTAATTATTTTTCATTGGAACTATTAAAAAAATTAAATTGCTAAAATTTACGTTGTGGTGTCAAATAATTTCAATTAAATATCTTTCCTGTTTTTTATGTTTGAAGGGAAAAGTATAAATACATAGTACCTAGTATTGTACATAACATTGTAGGTGCATCATATATTGTGTAATCATCAGTCACAGTTAATGGTTGCCACATAAATATTTGACAACAAATTCAAATATTATTAACTAATATGAAAGACAAAGTTAATAAAATTTGCGAGATTTGTAGCGATAAAGGATTGGGTAAATAATTTCTTAAATGAATTATTCTTACAAATGAGTTATTTTGTTAGTAAAACTTAATTTCTTAAGTCATTAATGAGCTTGTTTAAAGTAATAATAATAATAATTATTAATTATTTATTAATTATGACCAAAATTGTGATGTCCTTTAGGCCGATACTTCGGTGCCATTACTTGCGAGTCGTGTAAAGCATTCTTCAGGAGGAATGCACTCAAAGATAAGGTAATATAAAAGTAACACAAATAAAATTATTGATAAATATTTGTTTTAATTGTTGAAAATTCATGCAAATAGATATGAAAATGCCCTTCGGATGGAAAGTGTCAAATAACTGCAACCACTAAAAGGTTGTGTAAAAAATGTAGACTAAATAAGTGTTATGCTGTGGGTATGAGAAAGGTGAGTTATTTCAAGCAAAATTCAAGTTAGGACAAATCGTGTATTACAGTACAGTATTATGATTTAAGATTTTCTGTTTTGACAGGAATAATTATTTGTCTGTTTACACTTAAATATTATAACTTAAAATACTCATCATATAAATTCGATATTTTCGTACAAAATAATTAAATTTCAGATAATTGACTTTATAAACCTAATATATTTATTGAGACGAGTATGACATTTATTTGAAAAACAATCTATAAATCTATAAACAGTATTTTCCAAAGAATAGTATTGCATTCAATAAAACTACTTGAATTAAACATATTTATATTCTCATACTTACTATAAAACACATAAAATTATTAAAAAAGAGGCATTTTATACAATTTATATTCAAGGAAGACACCGGGAAGGACTGTTTTCCAAGGGGTCGAAAGGATAATCCTCCACACGGCAGACGTTCTGGTCACCCTATACGTCAATCTACAATTTCGTAGAAACAATTTCGAAAATATATAATTTCTAATTAGTCAAGCCATGGATTATTACTAAATAGAAAACAACTGGTATAAACATGAATTCTTAGAAATCAAATCATATTTACTGTCATAATAATTTTTATTAATTAATGAAAATTGTTATAATTATAAATTAGATAATCGATAGATAATTACACTTTCGTAAAACCATCAAAAATCTATAATTTCTAATTAATTAAGCCATAGTTTATTAATAAATAGAAAACACCTGTACTAATATGAATTTTTAAAAATCAAATCAAATTTACTGTTGTTATAATTAATATTAATTAATGAAAATTGTTATAATTATAAATTATATTATCAATATTAATACAATTGTATATTCATTTAACTCAACAGTAGCTAAGTAGCTCAACAGTATAGTTGACTAGACAGTAAACTTTAGATTATAACTTCATAAAAATATTTATAACAATGAATATTCAAGTAATTTATTTTATGTCGACTATTATATTGTTAGGGACCGGCGTCCAGAGCTCACTATTGGCAACAATTTCCCAATGCTTTATAGACAATGGATTGGGTGGACTTATCGGTGATCACCAAGGGGAATGGGATGCAGTCGGTAATTTATTAGAAAAGGCCATGGTTGGTATTACCACAGAACCTAGCACCTTTAATTTGGTGGCTCAACACGGTTTTCCAGTTTTATTTTCAAGCATACCGACATTGATTGAGATGGTAAAGAATCACCAAGAACCATCATCGCCTTATAACGATCGCATTAGCCAGATACAGAAAGTACTAACTGACCTAGGCAACGAAATACGGAACATTTATGCTGATGCACCCGACGTGAGTCAAGTTTTCGGGGACCTGGGCAGCGTAGTGCTTGGTGATTTAAAGGACATTGTTTTTAATAATATGATGGCTACTTATAGTCAACTTCTAGCTAAAGCAAACTTTAAAATGACCCCGAAATTGGAGGAATCTTACGAAACGTGCTCTAAACCATACTATCATGACTTGGGCAATGAAATCAGCAAGGCCATTGAGATCCAAATGAAAAACAATGAAGATGATAAAAATTTACCTAAACTTCTAACGGCAGTACAGAAAGCGTTCAGAAAAATAGATGACATTCACCCGCGAAATGTTAATTAAAGTTTGCAATATTATAAACTGTATGATTTAGAAATACTATAAAATGTAGACTTTCTATATACTAATATTAATTTTTAATTATATATAATAATTTGCAAAATAATAAAATTCAATGATGATGAATATTATGTATTAATATTAATGTTTATGATAAAATTAATAAAATCAATTTTAAAAATATCCTTGAGTTTTATCAAATATGAGATGCCATGATAAAATATGGTATACAAACACAAAAGTGTTAAGTTTAATTTTTTTTCGAGTGATTTAATTAACTAAAATTATAAACTCCACAAACTTTGTAAAATAAGTACTGAATGAATTTATAAACTTAATTAATATCCCCAAATATAACTTGTAATATTAAAACAAGTTAATAATTACAAGTTAAATACAGTAGGTGATAGGCTTATGTTAGAAGATATCAAACAGAGGTCAACAAAAGTAGCTATCATTCCTATGTTTAAAGGTCTCACAGATTATACCACTTTGAATGAATTGGAAATCAATAAACTTGGAGAGTTACTGAGATTGTCCAAAATATTTGAGTACCCATCCAGCACAAATTTATTAAAACTGACGGACATAACAGAATACTTTAAGATCTCTAATAAAAGACTGGAAGTGACTGTTAAAGAATTTCTGAGTTTTAGCAAAGGGTTGAGTGGATTCACTAATGTATGTCCTGATGACCAGTACACCCTATTTAAGTACGGGTGCTCTGAGATGTTGCTTATTAGATGTCTTATGTATTATAACCAGGATGGAGAATATTTTAACTTTTATATGGTAGTCAACATTGAATTTAGGAAGCATTTATAATAGATAGTAATATAAAGTATTGTATTTTTCATAGGATAACGACACCTCACTTATAGTTAATTATGATTCATTTACTGCCGAGATATCCAGGTCTTATTTGATGTTTAAAAATGAATTTAAGGATTATTTGAACAAGATTCTACCGCTATGGAATCGGGACCGTATAATATTGGAATTGGTATATTAATTAGCTCTAGTAAATTTAATTTTAATTACTTTGGTTATATACTATTTTCAGATCAATGCTATTGCACTGTTCAATCCTAATCGACCAAATCTGAAACATAGAAAAAAAATTAAGTAATGTATTTGTATTATGATCTGAATAGTGTTATACAATAATTAACAATTAAATATTATTTTTAATTTAATAGACTCGAACAACAATTATATATCTATTTATTGAAAAGATATTTACTATTAAAGTGTCGATCGGATTGTGATTCTCAGGAAAGGTTGTGTCAACTAATGAACACTTTCACCGATATCTACAAAATAATTGAAACACAAAAAGTGTATAATATTGGGGAGAATGAAATATATTCGCAAACATATGGACCACTAATGAGGGAGATATTTGATTTATTTGATTTGATTATTAGATATTTGAATAAAATTTAGCTTATATACAAGTAGAAATAATCAATATAATTAAAAACATTCAGATAGTAAATAATTACAATTTACTTTTATCAATCATTAAACTTGTTAAAGTAATTAATTAATTAATATTCAGTAAATATCTAGCTTTTAATACCGGTAAAAAATGCTCTTTTTGTTAATAATTACTTAAATCATCAAATTATACAAAAATCAATTTCACCTTTATCAATTTATTGTAACTTATTAAACAATTTAATGTTAAATATAATGCTTGCATCATTTATTTTTATATATTCCTGGCTATAGTGATTCAATTGTGTAAATGTTGTAAAACAATATTTGCTTTTTGGTTACTAATAAAATAAATGCAAACAATCGCTTAGTGAACTTATCTACCAGATCAGTCTAAACTGATGCATTATAAGCCCATTATACAACGTATTTCATTAACCATTAGAGTTACACATAAATTTTGATTATTAATAAATTTTGATTATTTTTTATTGAAACCATTAAAAAAGTAAATTGCTAAAATTTACGTTGTGGTGTCAAATAATTTCAATTAAATATCTTTCCTGTATTTTATGTTTAAAGGAAAAAGTACAAACACATACATAGTTATACAAAGTTATATAGTTATAGAAAGTATAATACATAGTAAGTGCATCATATATTGCGTAATCATCAGTCACAGTTAATGTTTGCCACATAAATATTTGACAACAAATTCAAATATTATTAAGTAATATGAAAGACAAAGTTAATAAATTTGCGAGATTTGTAGCGATAAAGCATTGGGTAAATAATTTTTTTAATTAATTATTCTTACGAATGAATGATTTTGTTAGTAAAACTTAATTTGTTAAGTCATTAATGAGCTTGTAGAAAGTAATTATAAGAATAGTTATTAATTATTTATTAATTATGACCAAAATTGTGATGTCCTTTAGGCCGATACTTCGGTGCCATTACTTGCGAATCGTGTAAAGCATTCTTCAGGAGGAATGCACTCAAAGATAAGGTAATATAAAAGTAACACAAATAAGGTTATTGATAAATATTTGTTTTTAATTGTTGAAAATTCATGCAAATAGATATGGAAATGCCCTTCGGATGGAAAGTGTCAAATAACTGCAACCACTAAAAAGTTGTGTAAAACATGTAGACTAAATAAGTGTTTTGCTGTGGGTATGAGAAAGGTGAGTTATTTCAAGCAAAATTCAAATTAAACACAAACACAAATCGCGTATTATTTTGATTTAAGATTTTCTGTTTTGACAGGAATTGATACTTACGGACGAGGAAAGGGAGGAAAGGAGACAATTAGTGGAAGAAAATAGACACAAACGAAAACAATTGCGTGAAAGTCAAAACACATCCTCAGAAGCAAATGAACCCTCAAATTCACAATCACTTGAGTCGACCATTTCTAGTAATTGTGGTGACAGTGACTCCTTGGATGATATAATAGGATGTGTTTCGGATGATACCGATGAGGACCTGAGCGCACAGATCATGGAAATTGAAAATTATGTCAATAGTGAGCACTCGGACCACAGTATTGAGGCATTGGGTGATAGACCTAAGTTAGAAACACGACAAATAGCTATTGTTCCCATGTTTAAAGGTCTCACAGATTATAACACTTTGAATGAATTGGAAATCAATAAACTTGGAGAGTTATTGAGCTTGTCCAAAATATTTGAGTACCCGTCCAGTAAACACTTGTTAAAACTTAAGGACATAACACAATACCTCAAGATTACTCCTAAAAGAGCGGAAGAAACTGTCAGAGAATTGCTAAGTTTTAGCAAAGGGTTGAGTGGATTCACTAATGTATGCCCTGATGACCAGTACACACTATTTAAGTATGGGTGCTCCGAGATGTTACTTATTAGATGTCTTATGTATTATAACCAGGATGGCAAATATTTTAAATTATATGTGGTAGTCAACATTGAATTGAGGAAACATTAGTAATAGACATTAATATAAAGTATTGTATTTTTCATAGGATAAAGACACCTCAGTTATAGCTAGTTTGGATTTATTTAATGACGAGATGTCCAGGTCATTTTCTATTTTCAAAAATGTATTTAAGGATTATTTGTGCAAGTTTCTACCACTATGGAACCGTGACCGTATAATATTGGAATTGGTATGTTAATTAGCTCTAGTAAATTTAATTTTAATTACTTTGGTTATATACTATTTCCAGCTCAATGCTATTGCACTGTTCAATCCTAATCGACCAAATCTTAAACATAGACAAATCATTAAGTAATGTATTTGTATTATAATCTTACTAGTGTTGTACAATAATTAACAATTAATTATTGTTTTCCATTTAATAGACTCGAACAACAATTATATATATATTTATTAAAAAGATATCTACTATTGAAATGTCGATCGGATTGTGAATCTCAGGAAAGATTATGTAAACTAATGAACACTTTCGCCAATATCTACGAAATAAGTGAAACACAAAAAGTGTATAATATTAAGGAAAATGAAATATATCCGGATCTATATGGACCACTTATGAGGGAGATATTTGATTTACCAGCACCACAATAACATAACATTTAATTTATTGTATTAAAAATCTTGATAAAAATTTAGTACATTAATTATTACATGTTTTTAATAAAATATTTAATTCATTTATTAATTTTTTGTGATAATTTGTAATTTCATTTTGTTTATAAATATAAAAGAAAATAAATATGATTTGATTTGATATAACTGTCCTTCAAATGTTACAGTATTTATGATTTTATTTGTATGAATTATAAGCAATTGACAACTAATGCAAAACTATTTGACAAATAACAGTAAATTTAATATTAATTTAACTTAAAATTTTATATTACTAGTAACAATATGACTTACTATAAATTAAATTAATATCACTTAAAACTCCCTCGTATGTGCTCAAATCAAGGTTATTTGAAAGTTAGATTAAATATTATTTATAGCTTGATTATCATATGTAATTGTGTTGACAAAATATTATCTAGATCACATTATTTGAAATTAAACTTAACTATGCCACTAAAATGAGTTATAACAAAACTACAATTAAGTGTCAAGTTTGTGGTGGTAAATCAATTGGTAAAAATTGTTAAAATTATAATATTTTGTTCACATAATTAAAAATTTTAAATTATTAATGAATTCAATTGATAGGACGAAACTTTTTCGTATTTACGTGCGATTCGTGTAAGTATTTCTTTAGACGCTATGCGCTCAACGATAAGGTAATTATCATTTGAATATAATAATTAATACATAACTATAAACAATATATTAATTCAATAGCCATTTAAATGTCCAACGAGTGGGAAATGTGTTATAAACCCACAAACAAGATCTTTGTGCAAGAAATGTAGACTTCACAAATGTTTTGAAGTTGGAATGAGAAAGGTATTTACCGTAATTACAATTGTTTTTGATTTATTGTATTAATTATAAAATTAATTTTAGGAATTGATACGAAGTGATGCCGAAAATCAATTGAGAAAACTTGAAGTCCGGGAGAATAAACGCAAACTAAACTTATTAAACGAATACAAGAACTCCGTTGATTCAGAATATTCTGATTATTCAACAAGCAGTTTATTACCACGGTCATATGAAAATGATGACAGGGATTTTATTTTAGATTTAATTGAAAATACTCTGAATATAAGTGATGAACGGATCAAGGAAATTGAAAGCTATTTGTCCCTGACCACATCAAATACTTACTTATCATTAGATGAGATATTAGCAAAATATGAGAAATTCTTTATAATTCCTGTATTCAGAGAACTCGTGGATTATAACGGGTTGAATGAATTGGAGTCCAATCGGATATCCGAGTTATTAAACGCGTCTAAAATAATAAACTATCCCATGACTAAAAATAATTTTATGATCACTGATTGGGATGAGTTAGTTAAAGTGACATCTTATAGGACCGAGGTGCAGATTCAAGAATTTATAACTTTTTGCAAAACATTTAATGGATTATCAAATCTATGTTCAGCTGATCAGTCCATATTAATTAAGTACGGATTAATGGAGTTATTTGTAATCTATCATCTATTATGCTATAATAAGGATACTCAGAAGTTTACAATATATTTAGTAAGTATACAGTACAAATTACCTTATTAAATGTATTATATATTATATAATACTTGTGACTAGGATGATGATAATTCTGTGATCGTTGGCTACGAGTATTTTGAATATAAGGACATTGATTATTTGCATATTATGAGGGACTTATTGGACAAGTTGTTGCCTGAAATTAAACGAGATTTTGTTATAAAAAACTTGGTAAGATTTTATACTATATTAGCATAGTTATTTTATGTAAATATTCTGTATTATATAATCAGGTAATCGCAATAGTATTGTTTAATCCGAATCGACCTAATCTTAAACATAGACATACTGTCCAGTAAGTCATAGAAATTGATCAACATAATTTTATTTGTAATGTTAATGTTTATTTCATAGACTCGAACAACAATTGTATGTATATTTGCTGCAAAAATATCTATCAATGAAATATCAAATGGAATCGGAGTTGAAATTACAAAAACTCATGAATTCATTGAGAGATGTATGTGTACTAGGTGATATTCATTTCATGTATGGAATAAAAGATTATATGGATTATTATCGCTATATCGGACCACGCATGAGATTATGGTTGAATGAATAAAGTTTTGTTGCAAATTATTTAAACATTGCAATTGTGTTATAAGATATCAATAGTTTATACTGAGCTACCCAAATTAATTTTACAAATATTAGTGAGTCTTCAGCTCATTATGACCTCATTTTATAATATAGTTACCGATTTAAGCAGCCAAATTGAACTAGAACAAAATACGGTAAGGGCTAAGAATAAAATTCTAGATTAACAATCTAAATAAAATGCCTTACACATAAATAAAACCTAATGAACATAATAATTCTAAGTAATTTAAAGTATACATAAAATAAAATTGTATTCAAATTATATTGCGAATAAAATAATATACGGTAGAATCAAATTGACTCAGGGTCTTATCAACTAAAACTGAAAATATTTTTATGGTAAACCCTATCACTTTTAGAAGGAATTCCTTTTTAATCTTATACCGTAATAAAAATCATTTCAAGTTATAAAAGAGTAAAAACTGAATCAATGGCTCAATTAGCGGTGGACTGTCTGATGATATCCTCGAGTTTAAGGGTCTTAAGAGTCAAATCAATTTCTTCTTCGACCACTTTGGCGGCCATTGAAGAGACCACTGAAGAGACCACTGATATCAGGAGACAAGCGATACCCCATATAAAGCACCCGTTATGCTGTAGGTAACGGCTAGTAGTGTCACATAAAGTGGACACCGTCTTCAGGGCGGCGGTGCTTATATCCTTAAAGGGTTCACCTGTGATGACCACCCGATGCCATACTTCCAGAACGTGATGTAGTGCTCGCAGTTCAGTGACTGTGACACCAATTCATCAAACAATAGATCCAATCATTTAATTGTATTTCAACTCTTTTTTTAACATACTTTTAGACAGTATCTGAAAATAGTATCTTTCATTCGGTGAAGAGTTGCAAACACTTGATCCAAGTCTGGCACTGATTGCCTGTAATCTTGAGCATCTGCGAAGCCATGATCTCCTGGTTATTGATCCGACAGAGCGATGGCTGCGGACTATCCGCGTCTTTGAGGATATCCTCCAACGGCTCATATTTAAGCAGCGCTTTGCCATTGAATGACATCTCTTTGCGGACGCCAGTCCTCGTGAGGTCTGTGCCCTTGTCATCGGCATCTCCATCATGAACAGCCGTGATATGAAAGCACATGACATTCCCGTAGTAGTCGACCGACTCGAAGAACACCCAATGTCTGTATCGACCCCTCAATACTTCAATCAAATCCCCGCGACTCAAGAGATGTTTTACTCTGTCGTACTCCAAGAATGAGCCAGTTCGTCCAAATGAGCACATAGACTCCGATGAAGACATGGATAAACTCTTGGACTGAACTGATCCCATTGTCACCCTGCTTGTAAAATTCAGCAAAAGCAATGTTTCGTAGTATTACTTCGTGTAACAGATGGTGTGAAACCTAGCAAAACATCATGTGATCTAATCATAGCATTGTCGGCGTTATTAGAATCAAACGCTAATCATTGGGAACTACTTCTTAAAGAAATATACAATGTCCAAGATAAATTTTTAAATTTATATATAATTATTTAATAATTAGGGATTATGTATCAATAAATAAATAATTATCGACTTTAAAAGTAAAAATTTATTTATTTTTCTTAAAATTAAATATTTAGATAAACAGTATTTAGCGATTTAATTCAAAGTTGTAAACATAGATTGTGTTATACTTAATCAATGTTTTTGAGTATATTTAACTGATTATTGTTTATTTTTGTATACTACAGTACTAGTACTAAAATTAACTATTTTTATATTTTAATATTTTTAACTCAATATTAAATGCACCTGGAATAATGTGTGATAATAAGATTTGCCAGGTATGTGGTGATAAAGCAATTGGTATGTAATTATGTTTATACTGGTATATGCTATTTAATTAAAATAAACCTTTGGCTAGTATAGATTTTACTATTATATTTTAATAAACATTATTTAATAATTATATTATAAATCACTTTAAAGGACGGAATTTCTTTGCCATTACTTGTGAGTCGTGTAAAGCATTCTTCCGGAGATATGCCCTCAAGAATAAGGTATAAAATTATAATTATAAATAATTTACAAATTTAATAATAATTATATTAATAGCCATTTGAATGTCCATCAAATGGGAAATGTATGTTAACACCAAAAACACGGCAATTGTGCAAAAAATGTAGACTCGAAAAGTGTTTTACAATGGGAATGAAAAAGGTAATAATTATTATTAACAAGGTATTTTTAATGATTATCCCTTACGTTAGGAATTGATACGAAGTTGTGAAGAAAATCAATTACGATATCTTCAGGTCATTGAAAATAAACGCAAACAACAAATGATTCAAAACACAGATTCTGTGGATTCCAGTCATTCTACCAATTCTTGTGTTTCAATGACTACTCAAACAGACGTTGTGAATGACTTTATAACTGAATTGATTGAAAGTACACTTAATATTAGTGATGCTGAGCTCAATGAACAGATTATGGACATTGAAATGACAATTAATACATCGAAAAACGTTCAAATCTATGATGAGATTTGTCACAAATATGCACAAATGTCTGTGAGTCCCATATTCAGAGTAATACCCGATTATGAGGGCTGGAAGGAACTGGAGTATAATAGGATATCAGAGCTGTTATGTGCATCAAAGTATTTAGCCAGTCCATTAACTAAATATAAGTTAAAACTTAAGGACAGGGATCAGATTGCGAGATTGACTACTAATAAGACTGAGAGTCATATCCAGGGTTTTGTAAATTTTTTCAAAGATTTAAATGGATATTCAAATTTGTGTTTTACCGATCAATTAGCCCTGATCAAGTATGGTGGTGTGGAATTGCTGGTTATGCATAATTTAATGTGCTACGATTGTGAGACAGGATATTTTATGCTGAATGTGGTTAGTAATTAATACAATACAAATTACATAAAATTAATATGCTTAAAAATAACTAATATTAACCTTGATAACTTATTCATATATCGTAGGATGATGAGACCTCAGTTCTAGTTGATATTTATCAGTTTGAAATTGAAAGTACCCCGAATATAAGCTATGTGCATGTTATGAAGGACTTGTTAGTTAAAGTGTGGCCTGAATTGGAAAGTGATCCCGTTATTAGAAACTTGGTATTTTTTAAAAATCATTTCAAGTTTGTTTTATTTTGAACTCAGTTTACGGCTATAATACTGTTTAACCCGAAGCGACCCAATTTAACGCATAGACATAATGTCCAGTGAGTAGCTAATATTTGTAAACAGGTTAAATTGATATTAATTTCCTTGATCAATTTGTAGACTCGAACAACAGTTATACATATATTTATTACAGAGATATTTACTATTAAAATGTCGATCGGAATCGGAATCAAAACTACAGAATCTGATGGAATCACTCAAAGACTTCAATACTCTAAGAGAAATACAAATGACATTTAGATTACAGGAATGCAAACAATATTTCGGACCTCTTATTCGGGAAATATATGATTTCGACAATAACTACAATACAAATACTAATTACAAAAATTAATTTATCTAATCGTATACCGTAGTAATAAATGAATTTACATAAACTAAATATTATATACAGTGCTCGGTATATATAAGATGTCGAAAATTAGCTTTTAAAAATTAGATAAGTTATACTGGTTTCAAATTAAAGATTACATAACAATAGATATATATTATACGTATATACGGTAATGCTAAAAGTACGGTATAAAATATTTTATAGATATTGTTTATTAGCAAAAAAACGTATCATTTTAGGACAATTAGCGATCAGATTATGAATAGCCTTTTGAGTGGCGTTTACATGGCATCCATAAAAATAAATATATTGTATTTTCTTGAGTTTAGACAATGAGTTCAATACACTGTCCGTTATATCTGTTCCCCTGATATCTATGTGTTGAATGCGAGGCAAGTGTTTGTTGACATCGCGGGTAAAGTCTTCGGCAGTTATGGCACTTTTGGTGCATAGAGTGAAATGTGTGAGTCGTTTGCATCCACTCAACGATTCACTGCTAAACACAAACTCTTCGGGATATTTACCATTCAGTTGGAGACGTTTTAATTGCTTAAAGTGTGTATTCATTGTTTGTATCAATTGAGACATGAGTTCACAGGAATCAATGCTACCATTGAGTGACAGACTCTTGAGTTGACCACAATTCACACCAATTCGTTGCAAACGACTATCATTGACAGTACTGTTTGCAAGTAATGCAGTCATCTTTAGATCAATCAATTGTGGCATTTGTGACAAACCAGTCATCAGTATATCGATGCACGGATCATGACAACTGTCACTGATATCTACTTTCATTGATTTCATAGTCTTTGCATATCTGGTGACAAACACTTCAAATCCATTCACGTCTTCATTCGTGTAATAAAAGCGAAATGAGTTTAATCTGCGAAACAACACATCATTTGTGGGATCAGTGGACATAGAGTTGGCATAAAACGGAAGATTTGTTAAGTTTGGGCACAATTTAAGACAACTGTCGACACACTTCCAGATTGGGGTGTCTTTAGGGTTGGGCCACGAATAGCATTCAATTGATTGCAAACATTTGGCAAACTTTGCGAAAAACTTGGCGATTGTGTCGACACTTAAGAAATCAAAATCAATGTAAATATGCTGTAAATGATTGCAATGTTTCACAATTGACTCAAACATTGAGTTGTTATTGAATGACACAAACAATGGTCCGATTCTTGAGATGTTTTCGCACGAATTGAGTATCCATTCAAAGGTCTCGACATTCAGTTTATGGACATAAGTGTATTTGAAGTCCGTTTGTGTCTTATAGACCACTCTCTGCCACTGTTTGGACACACATTCACATCGGAACCGGTCTTCGAGTGTGAGGTAAGACAACACGTGTTGACACAAATCATCACCGAATCTGTCGAAAGAGTCTTTGCCATAGACTTGCCTTAAAGTGAATTCCCTTCTGTGAGCCATTCCTCAGCGGTTATTATCAACTGTTTGTGACTGCTCTGTGCGCGCTTCACACAATACAAACGAAATGACAGCAAAACATGTGTTTGTATTCAATGTCAACACTCTATGCGCGCACTCTATGGCACGCAATGGGTTTCACGACGAATGAAGTTTTATCAAAGTTTTTGTCATAGAAATGAATAAACGTTTAAATTATTAAATCAAAGGAAATAGTATTTGTAATTCATTTGATAAGATATCGTATTTTGTAGGCACATACTGTAGTAATTATTCTAACGTCAATACTTCCTATTCAAAACATTAATTGTAACATTAATTACATTAATTGTAAAAATCTTTAAATATATAAAAATTATGATATTGTAATAATTGTCATGTTTTATTCATTTAGATATTTATAATTAGCACACAATCTACAGAATAATAGATATTGTATTAATAAAGAATATTTAAACATATTGATTATTCTTCATTCCTTACAAAAATGAGTTTAATTTTAGGACAGTTACCCATCAGATTATGAGTGCCTTTTGAATGAACTTTTTTTTGGTGAAATGAATATCAAAATTTCTAAAATATTAACATAAGTTTAAATATATAATTTTATTCAAATTTAATGTCATGGTTTATTTTGCTATAATAATTATACTATTTTGTGTTTGAATATTTAGTAAATAGTTAGAGATTTAATTCATAGTTGTAAACATAGATTGTGTTATTTTTACAGCTAGTTTTTGTTATTAATATAAATTATGATTATTGTTTATTCAATATTCAATGTAAAATGTTCATACACTATGTTATATCACTATACAGGTTCAAGACTAAATAAAATACATAAAATTAACACTATTTTAAACTATTTTGAAATACTAAAATTAGTTTTATAACATTTAAATCATTATAAAGTGCACATATAGTAGAATAATGTGCGATCATAAAATTTGCCAAATATGTGGTGATAAAGCAATTGGTATGTAATTATGTTTGTTTATATATGCTATTTAATTAAAATAAACTTTACTTTTAACTAGGGTAGATTTTATTATTAAATTTTAATAAACATTATTTAATAATTATATTATAAATCACTTTAAAGGCCGGAATTTCTTTGCCATTACCTGCGAGTCGTGTAAAGCATTCTTCCGGAGAACTGCCCTCAAGAATAAGGTTTAGAATTAAAATTAAAAATAATTTACAAATTATTAGACAACTATTTAATAGCCATTAGAGTGTCCATCAGATGGGAAATGTATGATAACATCGAAAACGAGACAATTGTGCAAAAAATGTAGACTTGAAAAGTGTTTTACAGTGGGAATGAAGAAAGTAATTATTATTATATAACAATGTATTAATATTTTTTAATGTTTAATAACTTTATAAGGAACTGATCCGAAGTCACGAAGAAAATAAACTAAGATATCTTGAGGTCATTGAAAATAAACGCAAACAACAAATGATTCAAAACACAGATTCTCTGGATTCCAGCGATTCTACCAATTCTTGTGTTTCACTGACTACTCAAACAGTCAATGAGAATGACTTTATAACTGAATTGATTGAAAGTACCCTGAATATTAGTGATGATCAACTCAGTGAACAGATAATGGACATTGAAATGACAATTAATACTCTAAAAAACTTTCAAACATATGATGAGGTCGTATTAAAGTGTCAACAAATGTCTGTCAGCCCCGTATTTAGAGTGATACCCGATTATGAGGGCTGGAAGGAACTGGAGTTCAAACGGATATCTGAACTCTTAGGTGTATCAAAGTATTTAGCCAGTCCATTGACTAAATACAAATTAAAACTTAATGACCGGGATCAGATTGTGAAATTCACTACTAATAAATCTGAGAGCCATATTCAAGGATTTATTAATTTTTCCAAAGGTATAACTGGATATTCAAATTTATGTTTTACCGATCAATTGGCCCTGATCAAGTATGGTGGTGTGGAATTGCTGGCTATGCACTATTTAATGTGCTACGATTGTGAGACAGACAATTTCAAGCTGAATGTGGTTAGTAATGAATACATTACAATTGATGTGAAAATAATATGTTTAAAGTAAGTGATATTATAAATTTATGTACTATTCATGTAACATAGGATGATGAGACCTCAGTTTTGGTTGATATTTATCAGTTTGAAATTAAAAGTGCCCCGAATGTAAGTTATGTGCATATTATGAAGGACTTGCTAGTTAAAGTGTGGCCTGAATTGGAAAGTGATCCCGTTATTAGAAACTTGGTATTTATAATTTTATTTTAAAAATTTAAGTTTATTAGTTTATATCTTGAACTCAGTTTACGGCTATAATACTATTTAACCCGAATCGACCCAACTTAACGCATAAACATA